ATTATAAACAATCCGAGATCCAGCCTAAAAACACCTTACATTTAAAACCACGTAAACAAAAAGATATTTTGGGTAGAGTTGCAAACGACCAAAACGCCAAGCATATAAAAAGCATATCTCGAGCAGTATTGCCATGTGTTTGAAAAATTAAAAAAAAAAATTTTACTTATGAAAATTATCGAAACCAATGATATTTTTCTGACATGCAGAATTATTTTTTGAGTAGAGTTGCCAACTCTGAGGAAAAAGGAGTTAATAAAAAAAAATATTTACCACGCAAGTAAAATAAAAAAACGATATTTGCGTCAAGCGAAAATTTCGGAGGAAGGTTAGATTAAAAGACCTTTGACAGGGTTGCCATGCATACGAGAAATGAAAACTGTTTCAATAGGTTAAAAGTGAAAAATATTTTAATATGAGCCGCTGTGGTGCAGTGGTAAGCAGTGCGCGCTTCCACTCCACAACGCCTGGGTTCAAACCCTGGTCAAAGCAACATCGCAAAAATATAGAAAAAAGATTTTTTCTTAACAGCGGTCCCTCGGCAGGCAATGGCAAACCTCCGAGTGTATTTCTGCCATGAAAAACAGCTTCTCATAAATATACAATCGCCGTTCGGAGTCGGCGTAAAACTGTAGGTCCCTCCGCTTTGTGTGATAACATCAAGGCGCACGCCACAAATCGGAGGAGAAGCTCGGCCAAACACTAACATATGTGTAAGCGCCAATCTATTTTATTATTATTATTATTATGAGCATGAAAGAAATTAAGGTGAAACAAAATATCTAAATATCTACAAAAAATTTAGAGCAGAGTTGCCAGATGTTAAAAGAACTAAATTTATTTTATGAACTTATATCAAGATTTAAGCTTATTTAAACATAACACTGTGAAAGTCAAGAAGAAAGCTTTGGAGCTATGTATGTTTGAACTAGGCGTAGTTTTGAACAAGATTGTCGTGTTTTGAAAAAATACAAATAGTAAAACAAAGGCCATTTCATTGTTATTTAATTTTATATTGAATATACTAACTAGTGCGATTAATTGCAAGGCGCAAGAAGCATTTTACTGCATTTGAATATAAAATAATTTTTTAATAGAGTTGCCAACTAACAATTAATTAATAATTATAATGCTAATATGTATTTGTTTATTTTCCAGGCCAGTTTCCAATTTATATTTGGGTTAAAAAAAGGAAATAAATGTTTGCTTTTTTAATTAAGAGCTCCTAGAATAACCTAATAATAATAATATTTTGGCACAGCGGCCGACAGTATTTAAATATATATTCTGCAATATGTAAAGTAAATTTTTTGGTAGAGTTGCCAATTATAAAAAACTTCAAAAATAAATAAATTTGCAAAATAATAGTTGTACCAGCATTTTTACTAGCTTTAAACGGCCTAGTACTGGCTAGCAAGAGAATAACACTAAATAAAACTTCGTATAAGCACACAAATCAAGTGGATTTTTGTCAAGAAAAAGTCTTTTATATTTTCTCTTTAACTCACATCATGGTTGCCAAGCCAGATTTTTGAAATAAGTTGCTATCATGCTCAAAAGTCATGTATGTAGCTGCCATTCAAAGCACTCAGATTTCGCTAGAAATCATAGCCGAGTATTATACAAAACTTATTAAAACACTTTAGAAGCTCGAGCAAACAATTGAAATTGTGTACATATGTAGATATTTACATGTTAAAATGCATATACGCATTAGTAGGTATGTCTGTTGGTAAAATACCGAAAGTATCGATTATATATTTCAACAAAAAATTACGAACTCATCACAAAATCAATTGCAAACGTATGCAACGAAGTGTAAACAAAGATAAATATTAATACATACATACACACATACTTACTTTCATTGTTACCTTTAACTAAACAAAGCAAGTGATTTCTGAAAATTTTTTAGGCACTTCAAAACAAAATTAAATAGGCAGACATATCTACACACATACATACGTTCATACATAAATATATATTACATATACATATGTACACACTGTGGCGAAAATATAAATAGGGACTCGATATTTCAACAAGTTTGGCCATTTTCCTTTTGTTTATTTAATGTTAGTACCAGGTTGATAGCAGATTTGGATAGCTTTAACGAAATATTTTTGGGGAAATAACAAAAAAAATTGGATTTTGATATCTATTAAATAAATTTCTTACCCCAAAATTTAGGTGGCAACTCTGTTCCGAAATACGCTGGAATGAATGGTGCTTATCTTGAGCGTATATGTACTGTGTGCATATACATAAAAATTTCTGATTGAAATTAACAAAAGAAAAATTAGTATTACATGCTGAGTGAAATTAACAAAATAAAAATTTGTATTGCATAGAAGCGTGGTAACCCTGATGAAAAATATTTTCGGACCAAAGTTCTCAACAATACCTTTCAATTGATATCCATAATGCGATGTTTTAGATAAATTGAATCGAAAAAAGGTGGCAACCTTACACTATTATCCTAAGTGATAACATTTTGTATACAGGGAAAGCATTGTTTAAGAATCTTCTCTTGGTGCCCATGATTAGTCATATTTTACTTTTTTTCTGCCTATTCAGATAACCTTAAAATGCAAAATATTACCTGTGTACCAAATTTCATGAAAATCGTTGGAGCGGTTTCCGATAACCCCATGGATATATATATATTATATTATATGTATTTAAGCTTTTTTTAGATATCTACGAGATTTTGAGTATGCAGTTTTGTAGTCCTTTCAGCAAAAGTGCAAGTTAGAAGTAGCTAAGATTTAATGTGCTGCAAATTTTCTCCGTTTAAAAAAATTTTGTACATAGTTCGGATGGCAAAAATGCGAAACAACGTCAAGAAAAAAAATTATCAAAAATCTACGGTATTTCGTAGCCAATTTAAATTTGCACTTTATTGTGCTAATATTTAAGCCACTATAAAACTGCATATCAAATTAAACATTTTGAAAATTGTATGCAATTTTGTTCACTTTCGTCGAATTTTCGTAATTTTTGTACGAGCTTTGAGATTCCGACTTATATGGTATTAGTAGAAAAATAGCTAAACCTATTCCTTTGTCCGACACTGTCTCTATATGAACACATTTAATATTAATAACAAATATTTAAAAGACAAGTGGTTAAAATGACACTCAAGTCACACTTGTATATTTTAACAAATATTTATGTATATGTCTAACTTTATAAGTTAAATACACATTTAATGAAAGTGTCGCAAGAAATTAAAAAAAAAGTAAATAAAAAATCGAGTTTTCCTTAAATAAGGTTTCTAGCCGCAAGATAAGGCCAAACAAGGGCACTTCATTGTGCTTCTACTACTACACATATACCTGTGCGTCTATATGTACTTATGTATATGCCTATATGTACACATATATACATATGTAAGTAAATGCACGCGAACCCCTACCGAAGTACTCGAGGGTGCTGTAGCTTATCCAGTTTTCCCGACGCCACCGCACCACTTTCACGCTTGGAAATTATCGATTCAGGCTAACCTAAAATTTCACAGGTTGCCTTACTTTGGTAGGTGTCTAAAATAAATAAAACAGGCGAAAATAAACAATCAATAAACAGCTATGTACGCTTTAAAGATAAATATGTACTACAGGGCGTATACTTGTTGCGTCGAGCTGGAAAATTTTTTTAGCAGAAGTGTAAATGATTTTTGCCACATTCAATGGAGGTGAGCGCGATGGAGCAAGAAAACTGAGTACCAGATATATTAGTATTCAATCCCTAGTTCATAATTGCATGCTAGTTTAATAAAGCAGTTGTGGCTATAAAATATTCAGGCCAGCTTCCATCTACTTGGCTTGGAACTCACGAGTTGTACAATCGAAAATCAGAAAATGAGTCAATGTCTGTAAGTTAGCTACAAAAACCAGCAATGAAATGTTTATCGCTTGTATCTGATCGCCTAAAAGCATTAAAACGCACTATTTGATAATGTACTTAGATTGCGTACATATATATAAAAAAAAAATATAAAAATCATTGCGAAGTCTTAAGTATTAAGGAAGGAACAAAGTTTGCGACTCGAAGGCATACTCTCGCAGTTTCAATGCGATCAAAAAGGAGATAAGAAAATCATTGTGCTGGCCTCTTGATTGAGGAGATGTCCTTCTAAGTAGCCGCTCTTCCAAGTTTTCTGAATAATCTACATAGAAAAGGGCTACACTTCAAGCATTCTTGAAATTTCAAATAGTTGCTTACTTTCCAGGTTGTAGCATTATCGAGGGAATCGCAAACTTCCTGTCAGCCATCACTATCACGTACAGGCGTGCCAGTCCAGTCGTTTGAAGAGTAACAGCAGGGAAAATAGTAGTAGTAGCCATACCTCAAAGAACAATAGCCACACTGGAATTCTAGCTAATGAAAATTTTCAACTCCAAGGTTCTCCTCTGATATGCACATAACAATGTCATGGAAAGGAGTAAGAATTGTTTTCATCTCTAAAGGCTGGCAAAAAACACTGCCAAATCTTTTCAACCTAACAGCCTCTCTACGTTTCTCTTCAAGTTAATGGAGCGAATTTTTCGGCTAAGCTGCCGTTTTTGAATGTGGAAAGCGTCTAAACAATTTGTAGCTTAATCTGCTATAAGATCCACCACTCAGTTGATCCTAAGAGATCCCTAGCTCGAGTTTTTCATCTGATGCAGTAGAGAATTTTGAGATATGCAAGTTAAGTCATTCACAAGGCAACGCCTTGGTTCAGACAGTAGTGGAATTCTGACAATCGCTACGCAAAATTATTTTCGCTAAAATTCTCTCAGTGAAAAGCAGTGCACTTTTGCACCAGTGGGTTCAGCTGAAACGTGAAGGAGGGTAGTAGCAAATGTCTTCAAGGAAGACCGGAGAAAATATTATAGCAAAACTTCCAAGGTTTTCATGGTATTACAGGATTCTTGTTGCCTAAAGAAACACTACTAATATTTATAAACCATAAATACATATATATACATACAAAGATATTGTAACTTAATACTTACAAGCTGTTGAATGGCGAGCTCTGGTATGAGAATTTTCTGTAACGAAAAAATAAATAAAATTTAAAAGGAAGCAGAGAAAATACAAAATAAATATTATTATGCTAAATAACTGTCTAAGCTTATTTTCGAAATTGATAAGCTACATACGCGCATGCAAACATAACCACATAAACGCATGGGCCTCTGAAATTAAAAAGCTATCGACGAAATTCTGTTTAATTTATTGTCAGATATTAAAATTTCTCAATTGCTTTTATTATTTTTCAGACCTCTCTCTCAATACTCTTAAAGGCTTTAAAGAACACATTGCAAAGTACTGAGGACTGATATCCTGCTGTGCGTAAAATTGCTTTTTCTTTTACATGAAAGACAGGCCACGTAGCAAGTGCTTCCGATAGGCGGAGAAGGTTGAAGGCGAAAGAGATTAAACATTATGAAAAGCCAAAACTACAAATTCAGGTGAAATATAAAATTAAATTAAATAAAAAAAAAACAAAGTAAAATAAAGTTAAAAGAAATAAATTAAAATGAAATAAAATAAAATAAAATAAAAATAAAATAAAATAAAATAAAATAAAATAAAATAAAATAAAATAAAATAAAATAAAATAAAATAAAATAAAATAAAATAAAATAAAATAAAACAAAATAAAATAATAAAATGAAATAAAATAAAATAAAATATAATAAAATAAAATAAAATTTGGGAAAATTTGGAAAAAAAGAATATGAAGCATAAAAAAGAAGAAAAGAATATAGAATATAAAAAAAGATAAAATTAAATAAAACCAATTAAAATAATTTATAAGATTCACCTAATTATTGTATAAATGGGGCTATGTGCGGTATTTACACTTTTATTTATACTACATAGTAGCCATTGCATGCCACTTAAATGAGCTTCAAGACTACCACCAAAGGGCCGAAAGCCTGCAGATGTTCATTATGTGAGTGATTTAATGGCATTTTGGTTATCTTTTCATTATAAATCTATAAAAAAAAAATTAAATAAATTAAACAAAATAAAACAAAAGGGATAGAAAACAAAAATAAAAAACATGGAATGAAATAAAACAAAAAGTAAATAAAAACAAAAAATAAACAAAATACTATAGTGAAAAAATAAAATAAAATCAAATTACATGCACTATAAAAATAAATATGTATGCTGAAATTTGTGCATTTCTTTTTGTTTTTGAATTTTTAAACTAAGCGTTATATTTTCAATTTCAAAAATCACAGCCGCAGTGGGTCCTTAACTTGTATCTTAAATTTCAATCGTGTTTTGCAAATTAATGATGTACAAAATTCTATTAAAATATGAAATCACATTTTACAAAAAATCAATTGTAATGATGCGCGGCGAGACAACCAAATATCGCACAAAAATTGCATTGTTTGTGGAGAGCGAGTGTGTGGTTATGTCTGTCTGACGCTCCCTTTGTCATGGCCATTTCGATATTTAAACTGTTTTCATGCGCCGGAAAGCAAAAAAAAAAAAAAACGTACGTACAGATGTTAATCCCTTGTCCCTCACAAACACACACACACACAATCCTCCCTTCGCATTTCCATTGCTTTGCACCATTTAACTGCCGTACGCTCGGAGACAGTTTGCTAGCCAGTCGACCACCTTCTTCTCAACACCTGTGAGCGCGCGCTAGCGCCCGACAGTTGTTTTACGCGGTTTACATACAAAAAAAAAATCGCGAAATTACGAGCAATTAAATTTTACTACTGTAACAAATTGTTGTGAATGTAGGGAGCGCGGCTCAAAGGGAGCGCCGGAATAACCAAATGCTGTAATGGGTATTCGTTTTTTTGTTTGTTATTTTTTTTGCCTCAGTTTTAGTGCAATTTTAATGGTTATATGGTAATATTTGAAATTATGCAAGCAATTTAAAGTATTCCATACACGACGAGAGAGAGAGAGAGAGAGAGATAGATACAGTGTGCATAGTAATTTTAAGAGTGATGTAGTTGGCGGTAGAATAGGAAAAAGTTTCACTTCGAAAAGTTGACTAATGCAAATTTTTCATGTTATGTCTTAAGCTTGTTACATACGCTTGTGTCACCAAGTTTATTGAAGAAAATTTATTGTATTTGCACGCTTTATAGCACAAAATGATGCAATAATAGAGAAATGCGTTTCTTATTCGTGCTATGGCTGCTTTTGAATTGCAAATTTTATTTACTTTCGGTATTTAAAAGCTGTATGAACTTGTGGAACGGTTTTTGAATTACGTGTTGCGATCTGACATAATGCACCAACAAACCGAATGAACTTGTTGAACGGCATTATTTCAGCAGCATTGAGTGTTCCAAAATACTGGAGAATATTTTGCAAATCAATTAGTGGTTCCGAATATCAGCTGCATAGAGGTAAAAATGTGAGAGGTTTGGCGAATACTTGAAAAGGTTAAGAACTCCATTGTGACTAAGAGATGAAGCTGGAAAAGTTAAATGGTTTGGATTTTCTATTACTTTTTAGCTATTGCGCAATTATTTCTTCAGCTTCTTGAGAGGATAAGATTTAGCAAAAGAAAAAGTTTAATAAATAATCAAAGGAAAACGGGCAAGTCGCCTGCATATTTTTAGGCATATTTCTGGTGGAGAAAATCTAAGTCACAAAATAACGATTAAAGAAAAATAAACCAAATAAATTACCGATTAAAAATGAATAAAAAAAAATTAAAATTTAAGGCTTCAGTCTTAAAGCATTTTCTAGGAAAGGGGCGAATTAATTTGGTATTCATTTATTGATAGAAAGTTACTTTTGATGCTAAATACATATGTTAGGAGCCAAACACCTTTTTCTCGACTCTTGCTTTGATATTAAGTTCTCAATATAGTGGCTCCAGCAATGAGTCAGAATAGAAGCTAACGAAAAATTAATCGCACAAATATTTTTATAAGCCACAGGTCATTGGCGTGTCTTCAGTATTCGGCCAAAGGCAAATAAGGAATTATGCTCTTTCCATGAAGCTACCGAAAAAAAAATTCTTCTATACATATAAAGTCAAAGCAGAACTAGGGATAACAGAAAAACCTCGATGCATCGCAAATGTCGATGATTTGCTTGGACGCATCGAAAATTCTCCAATCGGTTATAAATAGTCAATGTATCGACCAATTATGCAAAAGGGATAAGGGAATTCAACCAAAAAAAAATTTTAATCGCTACAAAAAGTTCTGTTAGAAACGCAATTAGCTTAATTTCAGTAATTAATTGGAAATTCTGTACAATTTTGCTAGCAACATAATTCGTAGTGAAATGATATCTGAAACCCCCTATGCAAATCTATGCGTCGATGTATGCCCTTCGATGTATCGAAAAATAGCGATGTACATTAGGATGCATCGTATTATAGAAATGCAACGATGTGTGTTTGACACACACATCCCTAAGTAGAACCAATTATATTCTAGACGCTTTAACCTTTCATTGTTCATCATTGAAATACATTTCACTACTTTCTTCCGCCCCTCTCTCTTACTCTCCCTTCGAAAGCTGTCTTAGCGGCAGCAATACAAAGCATTACAAAGCGAACTGCCAAAAAATAATAGCCAACTTATTTTCGTCAACCCCATATACCGTCATCACTTTGACTCTTTGTCGAATTCGACAGCTTGGCGTGAATCGACCAAGTCAAAGGTGATCGCTTTATGCACGTGCAGTCCAGACAGTCCAATCAGCCAAATCGTACTTTGATCTCAAATTATTTTGAGGTGAAGCCAAAATACAAAGAAAAAAGAAAATAAGCATTTTTACCTGTTTGCCTTTGTCATTTTAATAGCAATCTAAACCGTCTTTGTTTGTTNAAAAAAAATTCTTCTATACATATAAAGTCAAAGCAGAACTAGGGATAACAGAAAAACCTCGATGCATCGCAAATGTCGATGATTTGCTTGGACGCATCGAAAATTCTCCAATCGGTTATAAATAGTCAATGTATCGACCAATTATGCAAAAGGGATAAGGGAATTTAACCAAAAAAAAATTTGAATCGCTACAAAAAGTTTCGTTAGAAACGCAATTAGCTCAATTACAGTAATTAATTGGAAATTTTGTACAATTTTGCTAACAACATAATTCGTAGTGAAATGATATCTGAAAACCCCTATGCAAATCTATACGTCGATGTATGCCCTTCGATGTATCGAAAAATATCGATGTACATTAGGATGCATCGTATTATAGAAATGCAACGATGTGTTTTTGACACACACATCCCTAAGTAGAACCAATTATATTCTAGACGCTTTAACCTTTCATTGTTCATCATTGAAATACATTTCACTACTTTCTTCCGCCCCTCTCTCTTACTCTCCCTTCGAAAGCTGTCTTAGCGGCAGCAATACAAAGCATTACAAAGCGAACTGCCAAAAAATAATAGCCAACTTATTTTCGTCAACCCCATATACCGTCATCACTTTGACTCTTTGTCGAATTCGACAGCATGGCGTGAATCGACCAAGTCAAAGGTGATCGCTTTATGCACGTGCAGTCCAGACAGTCCAATTAGCCAAATCGTACTTTGACCTCAAATTATTTTGAGGTGAAGCCAAAATACAAAGAAAAAATAAAATAAACATTTTTACCTGTTTGCCTTTGTCATTTTAATAGCAAGCTAAACCGTCTTTGTTTCTGGGCATACGTCTGGTTTGCATGGCAATTTGCGATGTGTGTTTGTGTGGTCTGAATTTTATTTTTCCTATTTGTTTCAATTAATTTTGGTTTGCCAACCTGACCAATATAATTTTGTTATATACTTTGAAAACCTTAAACTTGGCAAAAGTTGAAAAATTGTATATTAAAAAATTTAGTTCTCATGGGGTTATGAACGTATGTCATGATTAAAGCAAAGATTTCCCTGAAAGGAGCAACAAGTTGGGGGCATAAGCACAACTATGTGGCTTCGCTATATCTGCGATGGTATCCATATCAGCCCAAAGCTAGTTCCGTTAAATCTACTAGTGAAAACCCCCGAACAGCACCAGCAAAAAATGAAGTCTAGGGCAAAAATGTATGAAAA